CCGGGCCTGGGCCGGGGGGTGCGGGCTGCCCCTCACCGCCGTGCTCCCGCTCTTGTGTGCGCCCAGGCGCAGGCGGCGCGGCGCCCCCCGGTCACGATGGCGATGCGGGAGCTGGTGGAGGCGGAGTGCGGGGGCTCCAACCCGCTCATGCAGCTGGCTGGGCACTTCACCCAGGACAAGGCCCTGCGGCAGGAGGGGCTGCCAGGCCCCGCCGCCTGGCCCCCCGCGCGCCCCGCCGACGCCGTGAGTGCCAGGGCAGTGGGGCGAGGCGGGCGTTGTCGCCTGACAGGGCGGCGGGGGTACAGGATGGAGGCGCTGCGACAGGGTGGCTGCCCCCACCCCCCTGCCCCGGGTGTAGGGCTGCAGGGTGCAGGTGGGTGGCCCTGGGCGCTCACCCTACTGTGGGATGTGTTGGGCTGGTGGTGCAGGGGCATCTGTTCCCAACACCCTGGGGGTTCCTGGAAAGCAGGAGGTTGCCATCATGTCTGCTAGGACATCTCTCCACAAGGGGTGTCCAAGGGAGGTGGGCTGTGCTGGGAGTGGCTTCTTTCGTCACACAGAGGGGACGACGTGTGCTGGGTTGGGTTGCAAGTGGGGTGGGCACTGGTTAGTCTGGTGGTGGTGGGAGGAGAAAGGATGGCAGCAGAGGGCAATGCTCTGCAGTAATTGCTTGCCCCCTTGTTTCTGTAGGTGTCCAAGCCTCTGGGAGTGGCATCTGAAGATGAGGTAAGTGTAGCCATGTGTCACTACCCAGCACCTTTCTTGCAGCCATGTTCTCTCTGATCCCTTTCATTCTGTCCTTCTTGTCCCCCACCTCCCACCCACGTTCTGCCTTCTTTCTTCCCTCATCCAAGAGCCTTGGCTGTTTGTCCTCCCATCCCCACACGCATGCATTCTCTATTTCTCTTTTGCAGCTGGTTACAGAATTCCTCCAGGAGCAAAGTGCTCCCTTGCTCTCCCGTGTCCCCCAGACCTTTAAGATGGATGATCTGCTGGCTGAGATGCAAGAGATTGAGCAGTCAAGTTTTCGCCAAGCCCCACAGCGAGGTGAGGGAGACTAAGGGTCAGGCGTATCAGGGCCTTTTCTGGGTCTCTAGTGGTATATCCTAATAGGAGCAGAAAGGGGTGGGGTGGGGGCAGAAGGTGCCTGAGGATTAGGAAGCCAGGTCTTCTCCAGTCACCAGCAGGGTATAGGACACATGGGTCTCATCACTTAACCTTCCCTCCTTCCTCTCTCTTTACCCTAGCTCCAGGTGTGGCAGCCCTGGCTCTGTCTGAGAACTGGGCCCAGGAATTTCTGGCTGCCTCAGATGCTACGGCAGATGGGTCCCCAGATTACAACGAGGCCGACTGGTCACAGGAGTTCATTGCAGAGGTGACAGGTGAGGGCACATTTTTGAGAAGCTGAGTTGAGGTGTTGGTCAGTAGCGTGCCTCTGCCGTGATCCCACAATGATGATGTCCTTTGAATGTGAGAGGAGCCCACCCATAAGACACAGTCAGTATTTGGAGCAGGCTGCTTCTGCATTGCACCTCACCTGTATGGGAAAGTTGTGCTGGTGTAACCTAAAGCAGGAAATTGCACCTGTTTTGCTAAATTGGGTTAAATTGCTTTGTGGCCACTTTCTTATTCTGGTGCAAGTATTTTATTTTGGTTTACTTAAACAGAAGCTGGTCAGTTGAGAGACTGACTGCAATCCAGCTGTCAGGGGAGTTGTAGAATATTGGAAATCCAGGTTCAAGTAATTCTTGGGGTCAGAGTGGCAGAGCAGTTATGGTATCTTGCTGTGGACTCAGAGGTGTGAGTTTGACCTTTTTTCTGGGCTCATGATACAGAGGACCTCCCAGTTCCCCAGTTGAACCAGCCCTTGGGGGATAACCGTATTGGCAGGAGCACCAGCCCTTGGGGGATAACCGTACTGGCAGGAGCACTGCTGAGAGGGCTGAAGGAGTTACTAGTGGATCACAAGCTCAGCCTGAATTGGCAACGTAATGTTGTTAAAAAAGAAAAAAATAAATACAGTTTTGGGGTGGAATTCACAAAAGCAGTGTATGCAGGACCCCTCTGTTTGTGGCTAGATAGGTCTGAGCTGCAGTACTGTGCCCAGCTTCAAAGTAACATATTATGGGAAAGATGTTTAAAAAAATCTGGAGAGGGTCCAGAGGTGAGCAGTAAAGATGAAAAAAGCAATCAGTGCGAGGAAAAGTTGGAGGAAGTTGGTATGCCTAGTTTGAACACTACTCCCTTGCCACAGTGTGCAGAACATTTAACAATGGGCTTAAACTACAGCAAAGCAGATGCAGATCAAGTCTTGAGAAAAGCTATAAGTTTTATAACTGTTTTTGGAGCAATGGAACATACTTGTCTAGAAAGGGCGTGTCATCTTTCACAGAAAATTTAGTGGCTGGATAGGTATTTGTCTGGAATGGCTTTGGAACAGTGAATTCTGCATCTCCACTGGCTGGACTAGATGGTTCTTGAGATCCAGTCTAACCCTAGGCTTCGAGGCTTTTCTCACAAGAAGGGTAGTAAAGCATTGGATCCTGTTACCCAGAGAGGCTGTGGAATCTCCATCCTTGGAGGTTTTAAGACTCAGCTAGACAAAGCCTTGGCTGGTTGAAGGATAGTCTAGGATGGTCCTGCTTTGAGCACAGGGTTGGACTGGATGACCTCTGGAGGTCCCTTCCAACCCTCATTTTCTGTGATTCTAGGAACAGGCTTAAGCTTAAAGTGAAGTAAACTGCTCATATACCAGAAGTGTGTTTGAGTTTATATTAGTTTAAATCGATTGGTTTTAAAATTATTTAAACTAATCCAGTACAACTTTCCGGCATAGGAAGTGCCTAGCCCTGCCTCACTTTGAGTACACATAGCTCTTCAATGCCCCCTATTTAGAAGATGCAACTTGGTCCTGCCCTAAGACAAATATTGATTTGAATGTCTCAGCCAAATCTGTCATCAGCTTCTGTGATCGAGGGAGGGGTTAGCGGGAGGATCTGCTTTTCCCACTTCAAAAGAAATGTATTGTATTGTTTCTATGCCTGGAATGAGAGAACGTCTTGTTCCTGGCTAGAAAGGTTCTGTCTGCCCACCGCCTCAGCCATGGAACTGATGTGAAGGTCTTGCTGCATGTAGAATGATTGGGAATAGAATGTGAACTCCTTTCTTTAGCCTCCCTCTCATCAACCAGATCCCCTCCATCATGGACTGTTGAGAGACGGCTCAAGAACTGTTATGCCGTCCCCCAGAGTTGGCTGCTTCTCAGTGTTAGGTGACTTTATTCCCAAATATTCCTTTGGGACATAGGTATCCTACATAGTTAACAATTCTGAAGCTTTTGGAGAGATTCTGTTAGAGTGAGAGATTTCCAGTGCATTTCTAATTTCCCTGACCTACATAGCAGCCCACTCTGCTGCTGTACCCCTTGTGGGACAAGACTCTTGCAAATACAAAAACAGGTTTAAAAATAGTAAAGGGGTTGGTGTCCATCTGGGAGCTGGTCAATCCTAATGATATATTTTATTTCAAAATAAACAAACAAATGGAATTAATCATAAAATACCACCACTTAATGAAACTCCCTGGACCATATTGTTTACTGTGTGGAAATTGGAAAAAATCCAATTTCTGTGAAATTTTTATGAGTAGTGGTTTGTGTGTGCTTTGTGTGTCTTACCTTATTTTTCCCATTCTTCCTTCACCCTTCAATCTGTTGTGTAGACCCTCTGTCTGAGTCTCCTGCCAAGTGGGCAGAAGAATATCTGGAGCAGTCAGAGGAGAAGCTGTGGCTGGGGGAATCGGAAGACCAGTCACTAGCAGATAAGTGGTGAGTTTCTGTTGTTCCCTAGCATATCCACTTTTATTGTCTAGGATGGGTGAGGTGTGGATAGGGGATAAAAATCCACCATAGTCTCTGTACTTCTTAATTACTTGACCCAGAATAAATAGTTCAACTGTTTGGTTAAAGAAAGATGAGACACAGAGTGTCTTCCTACCCAAGACTGGCAGCTTCAATTACCTTAAAGTTCAAATGGAGTTCCAGCTTCCTCATATATTAAAGCCCAAAGGAGGGGATTGTTGTGATCATCCAGTCTGTCCTTCTACACAAGGTACTCAGTGGTTTCAACATCAAGCCTAATAACTCCTGACTGAGCTGGCAGGTATCACTTAAAGTTATCCAGTTTTGTTCCGGCAGTTACTTCACTTGTTTGGGGGGCGGGGATAAATCTCATCTAGTTTCAAGTCTGACTTTGTTTCAAATTTCAAGTCCTTTTAGCTTCAGCTAGTGGAGTTTGTTGTACTTTTTGCTTGATTAAAGAGCTCTTTTCTATTAGAAATCTTCTTCCTGTGTGTAGGTACTTATTGGTCGTGATCAAGTCACCTCTTCACTTTTCTCTAAAAGAGATGATTGAGCTATATTAATCTCTGCAAGGCAGGTTTTCTAGATCTCAAGTTATTCTTGTGGCTGTTGCCTGAAATGTGTTTTTTCAGTAACTTTAATGAAGTATGGATGCTAGAACCAGATATACTAATACTGTAGTGATTCCACTAACGCCATTTGTAGAGGTAACATCACTTCCCTACTTCTACTTGATAGTCTGCTGTTTACACATTGAATGATCACATTACAGCTGTTAGTTAAACACCACTCCTGGGAGCTCACCTTGAGTTGTGTGTCAGCTATCACCCTACACCCTTTTTCAGGGTTTCTGTTTTTCACCACACTGTATTGCCCCTAAGTTGGTATCTGTGACTAATGTTCTTTATTCCTAGATGTGTGAACTTGCTTTTGGCACTTGTGAAACATGGTGTTTGAATGTGGCACACCCACCAAGCAATCCATGTTGATATGACTGACTTGTCCTTTGAGAGAAATAATGATACCACTTTTTTGGTGTCATCTGTGTAATTAACTAGCAATATTTTTTCCTGCCACACTGATAGATATAGTGAATAGTTTGGGGCCAAAAGCAAATCTGAAATTCTCCACCATTAGGGCAGCATTGGAGTCCCTTAAAATGTCTGATTGTGTGAATAAACTTTGAGCCTGCCACTGCTAAGTCTCATATAAAACTGTTCCTCCCTCTGGACACAGGTATGAGGAGTATCAGCCTGAAGATGATCTTAAGAAAACTGCCATTGATTTCCTTTCTAAAGTGGATGATCCCAAACTTAACAATTCTGAGGTGAGAAGTGTCCTGCAGCTCCACGAAAATGTCTGTATGAGTGGGGACAGCTGAGGGGTGGGGATGAGAAGCCTCTGCCATCTGGTATCTCTTTTCCTCTTTTCTTTGAGTCCTGGAGAGAGACATCTGATGATATTGCAGGACTGCCCCCTCCCCCACAACCGTCTTGAAATAGGCCTCTTTCCCCTCCTTGCAGGTTCTGTTGGATTTGGGGAACACATATTTGCCTAGTGGAGAGGGGTATGTGTGGATGGGGGAATTGTTGGTTAAGGCTTCTCCCAAGTGCCCACCCTTATTTCATTTTTTGCCACAGTTCCTAAAGTTTGTCCGCCAGATCGGAGACGGGAGGGTGTCGATCCAAGCTAATCAGGTGACTCTGACCCCCAGAGACCAGGATCAGGCAGAGCAGTGGGCAGCTGAGTTTATACAGCAGCAGGTAGGACTTTAGACCCAGATGCTCACAGGGGTGCAAACTTCCTTGCAGCCATGCCCAGCTGAAGAGCTAGGGACAATAGCAAGGTTGACTTCATCAGTAGTGCCCTACTAATGCTCAGCCTTGGGGGTGGGTCTTCATGAGCATGAGGTTCTCCAGAGCAGTACCTAGCTAGGAGCAGGGAATGATCTGGGCACTTCCTCATGGTAGTGTATGGGTAGGTGGGATAATTTGGGAAGTCTGGTCCCTTACACTGACCATGCAAACTTAGTACTTTCTGGCGGTAAGACAGGAAAGGTCTTTGAGCACCTTTTGCTGCTGGCAGAGATGCATTGCTTTTCATTTTTGCAATTTCAAAGTTATGTTTTATTTCTTCTCCTCTAGGGGACTTCTGATGCCTGGGTGGATCAGTTCACAGGGTCTGGGAACATGTCAGCTCTTGATACAGAATTTGAGCAGGCCAAGAGTGCTGTTGAGGTAAAGCTGGAGGGGAGTGGTCAGGGCACTAAGAAAGCATTAAAGGGCTTGTTCAGTTTTGAGCCCTTATATGCATGTCAGGGAGAGATGAGGGACTGGGATCTCTAGAGAGGGGATGTGGGGGATATGTGAAGGATGCTTAGCAGAATGGTGCTCTTTAACATTTGCATCCTCCTCTTCTTTTCTACAGTCAGACGTTGATTTCTGGGACAAGCTCCAGGCAGAGTGGGAGGAGATGGCCAAGCGAGATGCAGAAGCTCATCCCTGGCTCTCAGACTATGAGGACCTCGCCTCCTCCTCCTATGACAAGGTAATGAGCAACAGAGGCTATGGGCCCCAGCATTGTCATGTTGTTGGTCTCCCTTCACTGGACTTCATGGAGTAGGCCATGCGTTCTATTGCCTGTCTCTTCTTCAGGTACAAATGTTGTGAGGAGGCCTGCTGCTGCTAGCCTCTGTCTGTCAGTAGCCTTAACCAAAGGTCAGATTAAAAAAAAAAAAGCCAGCCGTCAGTACTTGCTGAAACCCTGCCTGCCATTGGTGCTTCTCCTATTTCTGGAAATACAAGCCAGTTCTTGCCCAATACTAGTTAATGCTAGTGCTTCTTGCAGCACATACCATCCCTTTCTGCACTTGCCAATTGGTGCAGGTCCCTGAAGTAGGATAGTGTGTGTTCACACTCACCACACACCCTGCAACTGACACTCCTCTCCCAATCCTGAGAGATTTCAGAACTGAAAGGTCTCTGAACTGAGTCTGGCTGGGGAGGGAAGGAGCTGGACAATAAATTGCTGCACCCACTTCTGCTCTGAGCTGGCTTTTTGCTTTCACAGCAGCACTAGCTGCTCCACATGCAGGGCGAGGGGGCCAGTACAGTGTCTCAGACTATTGATACTGATGGGTGGGACAGGAGAATGGGGGACTTACAGAAGCGCTGATCTGTAGACATGCTGTATGACATGTACCAGCTAAACATAAATCCCTGATGCACCTGTTTTCTCCATGCAGTGTTAACTCCATATTTGTTCTCCTTGGCAGGGCTACCAGTTTGAGGAAGACAATCCCATGAGGGATCACCCACAGGCATTTGAAGAGGGATTGAAGCGCCTGGAGGAGGGTGACCTCCCCAATGCTGTCCTGCTCTTTGAGGCTGCAGCACAACAGAAACCTGACCACATGGAGGTGAGTGGAACAGAGAGAACAGGCCTGCCCCAGGTATCCTACCTCTTGGAGCCTGTTTCACTTCCCAGGGGAAGCAATATCAGATTGAATTAGTATGTGGATGACACCCGTTTTAGTGTCAAAGCTGGGTGCTGTTGAATGGTGATAATTTCTGAGAAGGTGGGAAGCTGAGAAGGTGGGAAGCCTGAGCTATTTGCATCAGATTGGCAGAAAATCTAGCCCAAAGATGGTTAGAGAAAGACCGGTTTATTACCTAGTGGTTACTCTGTCCCTCACAGCTCCACCTTCCCTGACATGCTAATCATTGTGATCAGACTGAATCACTTCTGAGATCAGTTTATCTGTGAGAGAGAATGTAGGGATACACCCAGTCCCAAGAAGTTCAGGATATTAGGACTCCCCAACATCTTGAGGAATAGGTAGGAAGTTACATGTCTGTCTTTTATCAGGCTTGGCAGTACCTGGGAACAACCCAAGCAGAGAATGAACAGGAGCTCTTAGCCATCAGTGCCCTCAGACGGTGAGTAACTTGTGAAGATGGCTGGTTAGCTGGACACCTGTAATGCGTCTTATGATTGCTGTACTCAAAAAAACAAAGGTTTTGGTGCTTTACCATGTACCCAGTAGAGACTTGGAAGGATAAAATCCCAGTGCTCTATTGGCTACTGTAAAATGCTGCTTTCTCACCCACCTGGAAGTGAGACTTTCTGGGCGTGTCTACATGACACTTTGCTGTGCAGTAGACTAATTTACTGCACAACGAAGTGTCACTGTCTACGCATATGGAGCATTTACTGTATAGTAAATTAGGCTACTACAGTAGTTACTGTGCAGAACTGCATTTGTAGATGACAGCTGGAAGCAAATTTGCTCCTGGTTAGCCTAGGCAGCAGTGGGCCCCATGGGACAGATAGCTCTCTGTCCCTGGTCCTGGCACTGCTCAGCTCCTGGCTGGGAGTTCTGGAGACAGAGCTCGGGCTGGGAACCCAGCCCCCACCTGCTCCCCAGAGCAACCAGCTCCACACCAAGCAAGGCAGTTGTCAGCAAGCCCCATGCCCTCCCGCCTGGCAGGAGGCTTGCTGGCAGTTGCCCCATATCCAGGACATCTCCCAGTGAACCCCCTGCTGGGAAGGGAAGCCCCATCTAGCAGGGGGCTTTCTGGTAACTGTGTGTCCAAATGGGCACAGCACCAGGAGAGCTCCAGCTGCTGTAAATGCAGCTGTCTCCTGGCTTGGTGCCATCAGGTCCCCTGCCAATGTGCACAGGTCCAGGAGACAGCTGCTATTGCAGCCAGCAGAGCTTTCCTGGCCTCATGAGAACTGGCCTCATGCCCTTTGTCATCCCCCGGGCTAACACCTGGGGGCAGGAGATCTGGAGCTCCTCCTGGCTGCTGAATGCAGGGCTGAGCAAGATGGGAGCAAATCTGCTCCCAACAGGGAGTATGTGCAGACATGCTCCTGGGGAAGGCCTATTGTGCAGTATTTTACTAATAGCACTAAAACTACTATTAATTTTAATTAATAGCATAATAACATGTATAGATGCACTCACTGTTCAGCTTTTTAAGCTCCAAAGACTTTTGGAGAAGAGCTGTTAAAAGGTCTGCAAGGTATTCCATCCATATTTTCACATACATTAATACTGTGCTCTTTCCTCCTCTACTTCTTTGTCCTGAAGGTGCCTGGAGCTGCAGCCTGGGAACCTCACAGCACTCATGGCCTTGGCTGTTAGCTTCACGAACGAGTCGCTGCAAAAGCAGGCGTGCGAGACCTTGCGTGATTGGTTGCGCCATAGCCCTACCTATGCTCGCCTGGTGGAAAAGGACTCCGATGGGAGCAGCTTGGGGACAGGTTTGGGGCACTCCAGACGTGTCCTGGGCTCATTGCTGACTGAGTGAGTCTGAGGGAGGAAAGGGATATTCCTTTGCTGGTCCCAGTACTTTAATAGGCCTTATAGCTGGGGTCAGAGAGAGGTCACCCTTGGGAAAGAGGGTATGGAGGGAACAGCGTGCACTCTTCAGCATGTGACCTCCTTTGTTCTCTGACCTCAGCTCACTTTTCATGGAGGTGAAGGAGCTGTTCCTGGCAGCTGTACACCTTAACCCATCAGCAGTGGATCCTGATGTGCAGTGTGGCCTGGGTGTCCTCTTCAACCTGAGTGGCGAGTATGAGAAGGCTGTGGACTGCTTCAGTGCAGCATTAAGTGCACGCCCCAATGTAAGGGAGCAAAGTAGAGCTGAGGCTGTTGTGGGTGGCATGATTGGTGTATGATGGCGGAAGGTGGGGTGGAGGCTGGGGCCCTGAGTAGGAAGGCTTATGGTGTGAAGAACAAACTAACCTGAAGTGGTGGGTGAGATGGGAGTGATGGGCAATTCAAGGGAGAGAGAGTGGTTTGGGGTGAAAGGGAAAGGGGTGGTGGGATTGGGAAAGGACAGGCTTACTGGGCAAAGGGAGATGAACGGATGACCTCATTGCTTGCTTCCTGCTGCCTCTTCCAGGATCATCTTTTGTGGAACAAGCTGGGTGCCACTCTGGCCAATGGAAATAGGAGTGAAGAGGCTGTGGCTGCCTATCGCCGGGCGCTGGAGCTGCAGCCAGGCTACATCCGCTCCCGCTACAACCTGGGCATTAGCTGCATCAACCTGGGGGCCCATCGGTGAGTGGCAACGAGAGTGGGTAGGGAATTGGGGGATGAGGTAGCCAGGTCCACTATAACTCAAGCACCCACTGGAACCTATCGGTGGATTTGGGTAGCAGAGTGAGGCCACTGGGGAAGCCACAGTAATGCTGCCAGGTGGTGCCTTTGGGAACAGGAGTCTCCTCAGCTTTGGCAAAAGGGGAAGGAGAGCAGAGCGGTTCTGTTGACGTATATTCTACCCTAGAAGCCAAGTGCCATCTGACCTGGCTTGCCAGCATCTGGAGCAGGCAGCAGCTTCAAACCTCTGTCTCTCCCTATAGACAGGATCTGCAGGGGTAACTTCCTGTGCTCTGCTTGGGATTTAGCCTGGGGCTGTTGAGATGCACTATTACAGCATGGGTATTGGTTACATCTGTTGTGAAAGGTCCAATGTTGAGCAATGTGATGGATGATCATTGGGCAGTCTGGAGACAAGACCTGGTGAATTCTGTTTGCCCAGGGATGTGACATCTACCCCAGCTGAAGGTGTATGTATGTATCTTCTCTTTCACCTGGCAGGGAGGCAGTGGAACACTTCCTGGAGGCCTTGCACATGCAGCAAAAGAGCCGGGGCCCACGGGGCCAGCAGGGTGCCATGTCCGACAACATCTGGAGCACCCTCCGCATGGCCCTCTCCATGCTGGGCCAAAGTGACCTGTATGGGGCAGCCGATGCCCGGGACCTCCCCACCCTGCTCCAGGCCTTTGGCCTTCAGCAGTGACTCGGGGATGGGCTCCCCTGTGAATGCAGGATGGGCCCAGTCCAGCAGTGATATTCCTTAGGAGGGAAAAATTGATTAAGGCTCATGCATATTTCCTCTTCATATCTTCCCTTTGCTCTGCTGGGGCAAATTGTTGGCTGCCATTTTTGTAGGATGTCCTACAGCAGAGTATAACTTTTTCCCACCTTGCATCTTATGACCTAAGCATCAGTGAGCAGCTCATGTGGCACCATCTTCCCATGTGTATCTGTCCCTGGCTTGGGAATTAGGACCTTTATCCTGTGTTCACCTCTTAAAAGAGACCCTGTGACACAAAGCTTGCAGCACTACCTTCTAATAAATCCCCACTGGCACCAGCTGCTCACATGAGACCCTGTTGTGATAATCCTTTCAGGCAGACTGCCTGCTAGTGGCACTGGGTCATTGTGCGCTGCTTTGGCTTGCTGCAATTCTGCCTGCTGTGGGGACTGATGATAACCCCGATTTTTTTTGTTTTTTTGTTTGTTTTGTTTTGTTTTTTGTTTTTGTTTTTGTTTGTTTTTTTTCCCCCAGCTGAGAGAACAAGAGTTTTGACTCCAGGATGTGTACATGGAGGGCAGTCACTTTAGGAAATTTATGGATTCCCCTCCCTCCCTTCCCCTCCTTTTCAGGTGCTCAGTATCGATCCTGGTATCCTGTTTAGTGTGTCATATTGGGCTTTGCTCTTGCTGAGATGGTGAGGGAGGCTCTGAAACCACAGTGGGGAGAGCAGAACTCGAGGCTGCATATCTAGGGATATGCTGGCTAGACGTGAAATCACCCTGGCTGATACCAGGCTGTACTGGCAGGTCAAGATTTAATGACAGATGATTAAGGAAAAATTTGTTTCTTTTTCTTTTTGTGCAAATAGTCCTTCTCCCACTCTGTAACTGATCTTGTCAATTATAAATATCTGTATATGATTTTGTTTGGGAAAATTTTAACTGTAAAATATTTTGTATAATAAAAGGGGGGGAAATGATACTTGCCAAAAAAAATTCTGGGTCGGTTGGTCTGTCCATCCATCTGTCTGTGTCTGTATGGGAGCAGAGCAGGATGTAAATGCTCATAAACAGGGGAAGCACTTTAGAATTTGAGAGAGGATTTAGGTACACTATCTGTGGGACTTGACACTACGTGGGCTACATGTGTCCCCAACTGCACATTTGTTACTGTGCAGTCACTTAGTACTTGATTTAGCAAAAATCCTTCTCCCACTCTGCTGTTACTGTGCAGTCCCAGCAGCACACAATTCATTTCTGACTCTATTGTGCAGTAGTGTTGGCATCATAGCTTGTGCCCGCAGATGCTGTAGCAATGAGCTACATCGCTGTTGCTCTTTGATACAGTGACATAGTGTCTCGTGTAGACGTGCCGTGTGTTTATAAGCCCTCTCTTTCTCTATGCTCCAGAGCTAGGTACAGATGGTCAAAAAGCCCAAGGCTGAATCGATTCAGTCTTTTCAGATTAGTCTAAGCTGCGCAGATGAAATTGAAACATAAATGAACAGACATTTACCTTTGATTCAGGAAATACAGCCACATGCCTACAGTGGCTCAGGCTGAAGGCCAGAGGGCACTAGAGCACGACGCTGTGACTGTGTTCACTTCTTCCTGCTGCCCAAGGTCTCTGGGATTCGCAGTCCAGATTTACAGCATCAGGACTCTGCAGAGTTGCTCATCACTTCTTCCTCCTTCCATGTGCCTCTGGGATTTGTAGTCCAGTTGCAGCCAGCAGTAAGTTTGAGCAAGGGAAGGGGTGTTTTAACCCCCTACCCTGGCCCTAGACCCCAGCCGGGGTTTGCTGGGGGGTGCAGCCCCCCTGTGGCTGTATCCCCAGCCAGGCATGCCCCCTCCACACCCCCATGACATGAGTTTTGCTTTCAAGAATTTGGGGTGCAG